GCTATGGGGGAGAAGCTAAAGCAAGAAGAGTCTGGTAATGATTAACTTTGGGAGCTTCCAATGCTGACTCATGTTTCTCCTCACGAACATATCTGGATCCAGACCGGAGGAGTGAGGACTGGAAGGAGACACAGGATTTCAGGAAACTCTGCCACGCTCCACTGCGCAATCACGCTCTACGGGCAAACTGCACACAGTGTGTCTTCAGAGTTTTAAACACATCCCAGTATGTCAGGAGCAGGCCACACACTTCTTTCGCACATCAGCTTTGACACAGCTTTCACCACCAGCAGAACATGAGAAGGAAGAACAATCCACAGAAGATACACGGACGCCTCCTAAACACACAGGTAATATATCTCCATTTCAGAAGCCAGATCTCAGTGCAAACAAGATCACTGGAGAGAAAACAATTTTGGTGCACGAAGAGCTACACCTGCATATTTCTGAGTGGTGTAGAAACTAATATATCTCCTATTTGAAGTAATTCAGTAACACACACATATATCTTAAAATGTTTGTATCCTCGGCCCACTAAGTGTACGCATACACATCTAACCTAAGGAAAAACAAGAGAAGCAAGGAAAGATCGTAACTGTCAAGGACATTTGTCACAAAATTCAGAACAACACAAACTAAAACCACTAGTTTTAAATATCAGGAAATGACTAAGTTGTGGTATGAATGGACTATTATGAAGCTATTAAATTTGTCTTCAATAACTTTAATGAAATAGACTGACTCACTAGACTGAGTATATTACTAGAGGTATATTACTAGACTAAGTATCACTTGTCCAAAATGCTTGGGACCCGAAGGGTTTCATACTGTGGACTTTTTTCAGATTTTAGTCTATATTTGCGGACTTTTATCAGTTGAGCATCCCCAATCCAAAAATGTGAAATGTTCTCAAATTTGAAACTTTTTGAACGCTGCATTCAAAAATTTTGGATTTTGAAACATTCTGGATTTCACATTAAGGCCGTCCAAGTTGTACAATGTTAAATGAAAATAACAAGGCTGGAAAACGATTGCGTAGAGCACACGACATTATCCAGTTATATGTAAGTATGGAGAGGAAGATGGAAATAAGCACATTAAATCGTGAGGACAGGGACCCCACACTTGGCACCGTGGGCACACACGCGTGTGAACTTGCTTAGACTTGCGAACTCTGCAGAGAGCGGTGAGCACTTCTCCCTGCACTCGCGTCTCTCGCATCGGACCGGGGCTTCTGTTGCTCGTGTCACCCGTTTCTCCCTGGAAATGTCTGGTCGCTTCTCGCTCCACAGACCCAGCAGCACTTCCGAGCTCCAAACGTGCACGAGCAATCGTGGATTAAAATCTCTCAGAATTACACAAGCTGGGTCGGGAGGGAAAGCTGATACATGGCTGTATGCTCGGGAAACTCGGGCTTCCTGTCCTTGTCAGTTCTTCAAGCTTCGGCACGCTATCAGACTCATGATTTTATTTTCTTCATAAAAATAGCTGACACCTCCTAGGTTGTATGATAACTGTGAAAATTAATATTAAAGTACTCTGTGTACCTGGAACAGAGTATGGCTGAATAAAACTAGCAGTTACTGTGAATAATTTTCTGTAAATACATCATTTCCTGATCTCTTTTCAATCTGTGAGTTACCATATAAATGTTCAAATGTCATACAAGAAACTTCCTTTCCAACTTCTTTCCCTGTTTGGGTTTTTATTAAGGTGGTCATTCTCTTGTAGAAAAATAACTGTACAGGGTGCTCTGGTACGAATTATGCAGAAATGGGCTCATGGCATTGTACAAGCTCCACAAACAAGGCATAGCTGAGGGTTAAAATTCAGGATGTGCCTAGAGATGCACAGGGCAGGGCTGAGAGAGGGTTAACTACAGAGCGGTCATTCCGAGAGTTAATTCCATTAACACCTGAGAGAAATTAAGCCCTGTGGGCTGCAGGAAGCACTGCCTCAGCACACAGGAGACCCCGCTGGGCTCCGAACCCTGGGACAGGCTGTGCAGCCCTCGCCGAGTCGGCCGATGACCCGCTGCACAGCAGGGTCTGCCCGAACGCAGCCCAGACCCAGCTTCAGCCGGATCCCTCAGAGCTCCTAATCACCCTCGTCTTCTCCTCCTAAGCTGCTGCTAAGCCCCTGTTGAAGTAATGGTCCTGAACCATGGAGGGGAAATGCCCTGGTCGGGCCTAACAGGCCATTAGGGTGGTATTTCTGAGAAGCCGGAACTCAGTGCCCGGCAGAAACTTCTCCGCCTCTTTTTCTTGGTGGGCAGGGACTGAACTGGGGCCTTGCATGTGCCTAGCCTGTGCTCTCCCACTGCATCCACACCCAGCCCTGACATCTGTGCCTTTGCAGCTTCACTGAAGGACCACACTGACCTTCCCGCCTGGTCCTGATGCACGGTGGAATCACATCCCCTCGGCTCCATCCCAGCAGAAAATTCGACATCTACAACCCGGGGGTCCAGCCAGACACGAACAAAACTGCGGCCATGTTCCTAGGCAGGGGGAGGCCTGAGAGGGGCGAGGGCTGTCCAGCCCCGGAGGAAAAGACTGCTGTTCTCAACTGACTGCTCAAGGGCCAGGCCTCTCCGTCCTCAGGATGACAGGAGGCACACAGTGCTGAAGGACACTCGGCAACGACCCCGGATTTTGGCTGATTGTTGGAACTGCCTGAGGCTTTCTGGCCTGTGCACATTAGATAAACGGCCCACACTGATCGAATTCACTCAGTAATTGCTCAGTTCAACTTACTGCCCAGATGTGGCCCATTTTCTCCCACCTACAGGGAAGTTACAATGAAGCTAAGGACAGAAATGCACCAAATTGCATAGATTACCGCAAGTAAGGCAGAGGCCATGGGAGAGCTCAGGTGTGGAGGGTCCTGCGTCCCCACTGTGCGTGGGGTGGCATGGCTGGGAATGCGCCACCTGGACTGGGTGGCGTCGTGTGACCACGGGAGTGCCGAGGGGCCCTCTGCTTCCCAGTACAGGGGTGCGATCTGAGACTGGGGGTACAGACACATGTTCCTCACACTCCAGGGCATGGCTGGATCACCCACTTTCCAAAAGTTCTGCCGCAGCAAGTGGCCAGTGTACAGTAGCTGGAAGACGTTCTGCCTGCCTTCCCAGCTCCTCTGTGGCCACATGCATCTCTCCCTTTCCGGCTGAACTGGTTAGGAGGAAGATATTCATGGGGACAGAGGCAATGGGGCAAGAAGATAAAATAAATGTGTAGCAATTACTGCAGATGCCCTGCAAATTCAAGGCCATTATTTACCCTGGAGTTAAGTAATATCACCGATGAAGTGCACGGTTCAGGAAAGTGAGGAGAGGGGATTCTGCACACAAAGAAATGACAAATGTCTGGGACAGATGAGCCAACTACCCCATCAGATCATCAGACACTGCCTACGTGTGTCAAACCGTCACACTGTGTCCCACAGAGAGCCAGTTACTACGTGTGAATTAAAACTAAAATATTTTAAAATCTTCACAAACAAAAATATCAGATTAGAAATCACTGTAGATGTCTGGGAAGGAAAGCACTATGAAAAGGTTTGTAACAGGAAGCGAGCCGGTCTCGGGACTGGAGAAGCAATGCTGGGCTTTCCAGGAGTAGGAGGAGTGGGTGTCACCCCTGAGGACGGGACGCTGGTGGGGAGGAGAAGGGAGAAGCGCAAGACCTTGCAGGTGAGGCCATGGGGGATTAGACTTCGCTTGGCAAATGGACCCTCGGGGGCTTGGTTAAATCTGACTCCACTCCACGGGCCTGCAAGGACTTCAGCCTCGTTCCAGATGGGGCTCCAGTGCAGGTGGGGGCCACGCGCGGCCCAGTGAGGAGTCAGGACCCGTCCACCTCAGACAGAGTGCGAGAGGGCAGGGGCGGGCCAGGATGCGGACAGGGCTGGGCCACGTCCTGAGGGGCAGGACGCTGGGGGCTGCAAGCGAGGAGGAAGGGCAGCCGCACCACCCAGCTCTCTCCAAGTGCCCTTCCTGGGCCTTCGCTTCCCCCGGGACAGCGTGGTACGCTATCTCACACGCAAGTGAGAACAGAGGTGTTTGTGGACTTCGGGGCTTTGCGAGCCCGTAAAGCACAGCTCCTTCATCACAGGCAGCCGTTAACAACCCAGGTTTATTGGTACAAATCCTTGGAACGTAATATGTCTTTGTCAGCAGAAGTAATTGATCTTGGCTGGTTAATTTGGCTGGTTGTTCAGACTAAGGACTTGCCACTCTTTCAAGAGTATCCTACAGCCCCCTGGGCCGTATTCCCTCCAGTAAGCAACTCCCAAGAATGCAGAGCCCATAGGATTCCCAAAGTAGTTTGCCAAAAACAACATAAGGCCTGGTGTGGTAGTGGGTGCCTGTAATCCCTGCACTTGGAGAGGCTGAGACAGGAGGATTGCAAGTTGGAGCCCGCCCTGGGAAACTGAGCAAGTTAGGGAGATCCTGTCTCAAAATTAAAAATAAGGGCTGGAGCTGGAGCTCACTGTGAAGGCCAGTGAAAACACACACACACACACACACACCTCACACCGGCACCTCCATCTGTACTCTGACAACCTTGAAGACTGGCTTTACAGAAATGCTTGGGCGAAATCCCCGCCTTGTCCCTGGACATCTGACTGAACCGGGGCACACATGACCGCTGTACCCACAACTGGCTTAGACCGAAAGAGTGAGGAGTGCTTTAGCCCATGAGGCTGCAGGAAAAAGTGTCCTCTGCTTCACATACTGCAGAGTCGTCTCTATTTTAAAGCCACAGCGCGCGTCCTGAGCTCGTCCCTAACAAACGCCCCCGGGCCCCACACAGACAGCTCCAGGGAGCAGCGGCAGAGCAGGCGGAGGAAAACTCTGGGCTTTATTTCTGCACTGTGGGAATGGGGACGCCACGGTTTAACAAGCGATAACAAAGTGCTGCGCGTCCCAGGGAGTCAGGTGACAGGCACTGACCCTGCAGGACAAGGCTGCCCGCGGGCAGGAGCAGAGGCTGTGGGGCTCCAGCACTCACAGCCCTGCGTGTCCCCAGCCTTCTGGGATGCTGTGTGCTGTGCCCAGCACCGCGGGACGTGAAGCGCGTGCGCCGAGGGACCCTGCTACCTGCTCACCCTGGGCTCAGCAGGATGGCGAGCAAGGCTGGGCCCGGCCACACCAACACCACAGGAGGGAAACAACCCAGGCAGTGCTTGCCTGAGGCCCTGCAAGTCTAGCACAAGAGCGGCCAAGCGGGCCTGCCCAGCACCCCGCCCCCAGCAGCCCTCCAGGGGGCGCACACGCGTCTCAGCTCTCCTCTGGGTGGGAAGGTTCAGAGCCCAGAGGCCTGACCCAGCCTCCAGAGTCTGCCCAGCAGGAAGGAGACCCGGCCACCACAGCGACAGCGCGGTCAGTGTCTCGGTCCCTGGGTGCTGCCATCACGAAATACCACAGCCGGGCGATCTGCGAAGAGCAGGAGTTTCCTGCTCACAGTTCGGTGCCACGGCCCCCTGCAGTCAGGTCCAGTCCCCACCTGCCCGGCACAGGACGCAGGCCTGAGGAAAGAAAGACACTCAGAGGCAGAACCAGGAGAGGGTAAGCGGGGCGGGACGACCAAGGCCGGTGCCACCCACAAAGGCCCTGGCCAGTCCTACGCACAGTTACTGGCCATCAACTGTGGTAAAGGTGAGCTCCGTGCAGTCTCTGTGGAAATCAGTGTCAACAGGGCTCATAAAGGACAGGACAAAGCATTCCCGAATTAGGAACAGAATAGTCAAAATATACAGCTGTAGTTAAAACACTATCCTTCTGGTCGAGAGGACTTTAGTTATAAAAACAACACATAGATACCAGCTACTCTGACCTTGGCATATAGGCTTCAACCAGACTCCCATAAACAAGCAACTGGGGGGTTAACTCCCTTCGGCGGGCTTTACACACCATCAGTACTAGGTCCGCTGCAGTTGTGAAGGCTGGGAGCCTGCCGCCAAAGCGCCAGCCAGCCTGGTGTCTGGGCGCCGCTCCTCTCTGAGAATGGTGCCTGCGGCTGTGTCCTAGAAGGTCCGGACTCCTCCCTCCAGCCCTTAGGAGGGCAGGAATCCACCCGTGAGAGCAGATCCTTCTGAAAGGGCCGCCTCTTAACACTGCACCAGGTGACCAAGTCCCAACATGATCCCGGAGGACACCAGATCCCGGCTCCTCCTCACAGGCCCTCCGCTGGCTCCGCCCTTCCTACTCTCAGCTGAAGTCTTCTGTCCACCTCTCCGGCCCCCACAGGGCACTCACACGCAGATGCTTGTCTCAGGGTCTGTGTCTAGAGAGATCCAGCTGAGACACATTAATGGTGCTTGTGTACTTATAGTCATATATACGCATATTTTTTATATATTTATGTTTAAATGTTTATATATTTGCATATACTTGCACAAAGTGTGATCAAACTATACAGTAAATGTTCCGACTCTTAAAAATTCATGACAGTAGAAGACGCGTGGCTATTAATCCTCGGCAACACTCCCCTCACTTTGAACGCACTTTGTACTGCACTTTCTGAAGCAGTTCTGCAAGTCCTCTGTCCCGAGTATCCTTCATTGCTGCTGTGGCTGCCCCAATGTCCCGAGTCCATTCAAAACCTTCCCCTTTTATGCTTATTTTGACTTTGAGGAAGAGCCAGCAGTCTCGCAGTACCAGAGGTGATGAGGGAGGTGGATGAGGACTCACCAGCACGTTGCTATGTGTGTACCTGTCCGTGGGACGGCACTCCGCAGCAGCATTCACGGTGTTTATACCCACACCGCAGAAAGACACTCGTGAAAGAAGACTTTCAGAACCGCTTCAGAAAATGGCAGGAACGATGAGCTAAGTGCGTCTGAAGAGAGGGAGGGTCGCGAACAGGATCGATGGTGATGTGTGCTTTACTGTTCATCACTCATTTTGACCATATTTGGGTCATACGTGCAGACGTGTGTCCACACGCACTCACAGACACACGTACACACAAATACAGGTCCATATAACGGAGCTGGCTTCCATATCCATGGGTTCCACACCTATGGGGTCAACCACTCACAGACCGAGAATATTTGGAAAATACTTGTCTGTACTCGGCACATAGATTTTTTTTCTTGTCATCACTTCCTAAACGATAGAGCACAACAAATACACAGCAGCTGCGCTGTTTTAGTATTGCAAGCAATCTAGGGTGACTTAAAGTCCTCAGGAGGGAAGTGTGCAGGTTAGACAGGCATAGGACAGAAGGACAGGGACTTGGTCTGTGGGCATCGATGTCCGTGGTGGGTCCTGACACCAATCCCCGGGAGGTGACGAGGGACAGCGTCCTACTCAAAGGCACAGTGTGCTTGCATCTCTCTCTGCTGCGTTAATGTTTTCCTTTTCATCAGAGCACTGCAGGTTGCTGTATTCCTTCCTGTGCCGTGTGGAGATCCTGAAGCCTGATGCTCCAGTTCTGTCCTCCGGCTCGGCAGGACAGCCTCTCCCCCGACGTACTGCACCCACCAGAGCCCGCGGTCCACAGCTGGACAGCCCTGGCCCACTTTGCACCTGGTGCTGCACAGCCCGGCCAGGCCCGGGAACCCGGCATTCTCAGGCAGACGTCCCCACAGCGGCCCTGCACACTGGCCACTGTTGCCGAGCTACTGCTGTGGAGAGACAGCAAAAGCAGTGAAAGGGCCGTGAAAACCAAGTTAATTCAACAGCAAGCTCCAAAGAGAGTTCACACCTCAAAGCTCTGTGTTCATGAAAGGAAAGGCTGCTCTGAGGGCTCCCCAGGCCCAGACCCGCACCCCACTCTGTGTCCCAGCTGGAACTCCATCCTTGGCCTTTTGCTCTCTGGGTATGAAGACCCAAGTCAAAACCACTAAGCGCCGAGCAGGGCAACATGGAGAATGGAAGAACACCAAGGTCATGGGACACAGGAAACTAGACTCAGCCTACAGGCCAGGTTAGAGCTGCGCAGCCTGGACAGAGCCCAGTGAGCAGGAAAGCTAAGCCAAGTAACAGCACTCTTGGAATTTTACCTTTTCATCAAAAAACGAAAACGGGACTTTCAGGGGCCTGAATCCAGCCCCAGATGCGTCTCTCCGGGAAGACACCAAGTGTTAAGGCAAATGAAACGTGGGCGCGGCAGCATGTTGAGACTGACCCTGAACCCACGCCCGAGCTCATTTCCAGCTCCCAGACACCTCCAGCGGTGGTCCAGGCACAGCTACGGGTGTCCCTCCTCCTCTCTGCCTCCACCTCTCCTTCCAGGCGGGACCAGCTGTCCACCCTCAGCCCAGCTTTGTCAGAAGGAAATTCTTCTGGGCGCACAGAGTTTCCTAACAAAACCACCTTGCTTTTTATCGGCCCACTCCCAAAGGATGAGATTACTAAAATAATAATGAGTATATTATCATCAGAAAATGTTATAGCTGCCAAAATGGAAGGAATAACATTGAGAAATGGGCAATAAGGCCAATCATGCTCGTGAAAAGTAACGTGAAGCTGTTTACCCGTGACCCGCATGGAAGTTCACGTGGAATGCACAAAGTCATGATCATTTTCATGAGCAAACTGCTTCTGTGTTTAAATATGCTACATAAATACCGCCTATGTTTTCTATCGAGAGACAACATACCATCCTCTCTCTCCACCCATCCTCGGCCACAGGTCCTTTTCCTGGACTGCAGGACGGTGGGCCTGTGCTTACGGACGTGGGAAAGGTCCGAGAGATGGCACGCAGAGAAGTGACAGGTGCTGTGATTACAATGATTCCCGAATCATTCTGCTCTGGTGAAATTTAGGTGCTAGAGTTTGCCATGTATTTCCTTTTTAATAGTGTAAGATGCATACTGAGCCATTAGTGACTTGGAAAATGTGCGTTCTTTATTAGAAAAGAAAAGAAAAGAAACAAACAAAAAACAAAGAGTGTACCAACTATCTACTGTAATTAACACAAGATGCTACCTAAGACCAGACCCCCTGACTTCCTTCTGCCATCCCCAGAGCACCCTCACCCACAGAACTCCCATCCGCTCCCATCTGACTGCAGCAAACCCACGGCTGCCTTGGCAGGAAGCTCCTCCATCCCAGGAAGCAAGAAGCCACAGAACCCCCAGGGAGGCAGCGGAGGCGCAAGGGCCTGGCTCCTGTGCCCTGAAGAGCGGCGGGTCCTAGTGAGAACCGAGGCTGCTCTTCAGGGACCGGGCAGGGCCTGCTGACCCTGCTGGCTGCAGGCGGAAGTGAGGGCGGAGACCAGGCTGCAGCTACACATCCTTCAGGACACCCTGCAGCCCCACCACGCGGATGACCCAAGCCAGTGTCAGCGATGCCCGGGCAGAGCCAGCCGCTCGGGGTCAGGCAAACAGCCCTGAGACCGGCACCCACGCAGCACTTACGAGGCAGGAACACTTGGTGCACTTGCTCCCTTCCGGCCAAAACGCCTCTCCCTCGCCGTACTGCACACCTTGGAACAGGCAGCCTGGAAAGCAGAGCGGAGTTCAGAACGGGCAGGAGCCGCATCCACGCAGCACGACACGTCCTCCCAGCCCTGCTCACCCATCCCCACCCCCACCCCACGCCCCGGCAGTGTCCTCCTTGGTCAGCGGACGGGTTCCCTCATGAGAAAGTCTCGGGTCACTGCCACATTCTAAAGCAGTGCCACAAGTGGCCCTCAGAAAGGCTGGCTGCTGACTCCATTTCCCGTGGGCCACGGAGGCCGTGGGTTACCACCCAAGCCACCTTCCCCAGAACTGTCCCAGCCAGGCGCTTGGCAAGAGGGCGGGTCCTGCTCCGCGCTGGACAGGAAGCTGCTGAATGCTCTTGTGCTCCCTGCAGAAGCCCCACTCTCAGACCAGCAGGCTCCCCAGGAGGACCGGGCCTCGCCCACCTGCCCATCCCAAAGCTGGCACCACCCTCTGTCCAACAGAAGGGTGTGCAGGCGAGCACTGAGTCTGAGCCAAGGAGGAGCGTGAACTTCACAGCTGCTCCAGGAGGGAGGCCTTTCCGGTGCCCACACCCAACACCAGCACCAACTGCCCTCCTGCTCTCAGTGACGGGAAGACTTGGTGAGCGTGGCCCCCGTGGCTGCGTCTCAGTGCTATTCAGAGATGGTAGGGGCCCAGTGAGAGGACGCTGCTGGTGGGGGAGCTGGGCGTCCAGGGCTCCTGGGTGCTGTTCCTGCTCCTTGAGCCCCACGGCTGCGAGCGGAGCCTCTGAGCCGACTGCATGGATGAGACCACAGTCTACTGGGCAGACCCGAATCCACAGGTGGGAGCTAGGATAATCTTTAGAAAATCTTCAAATGGCCCCCGTGGCTGCGTCTCAGTGCTATTCAGAGATGGTAGGGGCCCAGTGAGAGGACGCTGCTGGTGGGGGAGCTGGGCGTCCAGGGCTCCTGGGTGCTGTTCCTGCTCCTTGAGCCCCACGGCTGCGAGCGGAGCCTCTGAGCCGACTGCATGGATGAGACCACAGTCTACTGGGCAGACCCGAATCCACAGGTGGGAGCTAGGATAATCTTTAGAAAATCTTCAAATTTGCATGACAAGTTTTTTGTTACCCACCCCCAGCTTGGCTGTATGGAAAGCACCAGGGAGGCTGGGCCTGTACCCAGACTCTGATGGACCTGGGCTGAGATGCAGCTTTTCCGATTCCCAGGAAATTCAGGGTGCAGCCCAGAGAGCTACTCAGCCACTCTGTCAAGATCCCGCCCATGTTCAAGGACACGGTGACCTTCAAGGTCATGAAAAGCATTCGATGCATTCAGCAGGAACAGGCACTGAGAAAGTGGACTGTGGGACAGATACAAACTGACTGGGTTACAGAAAGAATCAGTGTAGCTTTAGCCGGGTTTTTGGCTTTCCTATGAGCTCATCAATAATCCGAGCTTCACAAGAAACCCAGTGTGAAAGGAAGCTGAATCACGACTGTGCAGGGCACGAGGAAGGTCAGAAGAGGTGGAAACGGTCCGTCCTTGTCCTTCGAGGACAAGAGAAGACTGAATTCGGAAGAGGACTTGGGTCTATCCCAAGGAGGGCTCACGTCTGCCGAGCACCACAAGGCCTCCGCCACTCCAAAGGAGCCTCCGAGAGCAGCAGGGCCTCGAGAGCACCCTGCAGAGCAAAGACTGGCAGTCGCACTGCCACCGGTGAGGAAGAGCACTCAGGGAAAACCCCAAAGCCAACCCCTGTCCTGGACGACCAGTGAGTGCCTCAGAGAGCAGAGGGACATCTCGCCTCAAAATCCCCAGGCCTGCGGGAAAGGGCAAGGGCTGCAGGGGCCTCCGCAATGCCCTTCAGGAAAGTGGGAGGGAAGATCTGGCCACTGGAAAGGGAAGAGCTGTTCAGTACAAACTAGGCAGGGGCCTCGCCACAGGGACAGTGGGCCCAGCCCTGTAGAGCAGGCGGAAAGGAACAGCAGCAAAACCCTAAGCTAAATTCACATGGGAGGCAGCTCTCTGCTTACCTCGTCACCAGGGCAAGCTCTGGCCAAGGCACCACAACACAAAGCAGCAAAAGGACATTTGTGGAGGCAAGGGGAAGCCGCTGCGGGCCCGGGAGTGGAAAGCAGGCCTCTGGGCCCAGAGGAGCCACCAGCCGATCCTGGCAGCACACCGTGCGCACGCCGGGCACCCCCACCGGGCAGCCTACCATCCCCTTCGGGACGGGAGAGGAAAGGCTGAGGCCACAGACAGTGGCGGGCAGAGGAGGAGGAGCAGGAGCACACTCCCTGACACGGTAGGTGCACGGAGGCTGAGTGAGGAAACCCAGCAGGGAAGGGAAACGGCACGGCCCCGAGGGCACAGATGCAACGGTCTTGCCCTGTGCCGGGGAGCCTTCCGCCCCCACTTCCTGAGACAGTTACCTGGACAGGTGGGGCAGCAGGCTCCCGGGCGCTCCACTGGGTTTCTACAGTGAACGACACAGTGCACCTGGGACTCTGTGACAACGCCCTCCTGGAAAAGAGAACACACAGTCAGCCAGCCCAGGACTCCCGCAGGAGCGACACCTCGGGAAAGTAAGCAAGCAGGAGAAGAACCCAGACCCAGAGAGGGCACAGTGGGTGGGCACAGTGGGTGGGACCTCCCAGGGCAAACCCGTCACCCCTCCTCCTCCGGGCCTTGCCCTCTCTTTGGCCCTGCTTTCTTTCTTTTAAATCTAGTTTTAAGACTCTCTTGCGGCCGCTGGTAGCTGGCAGCATCTTGCTGCGCATTCCCAGTTGGCTTGTGTTTTCCCTGCTGGCCGTATTTCCTGTCATTGCTCTCACACTTGCAGTCAGCTGCTCCTGAGCACGGAGACCTGGGAGAGTCCAGAGGTCGGTCTCCCCAGATGCATCCCCACCACCTTCTGGAAATAGTGAAGCCAACTCTGCAGGACCAAAACATCCCTTGGCCTTGGTCAGAGCCCTAGTCCCCACTCTCCAGCGTCGAGGAGGAGAGGTCAGAGCTACTTCAGTATCCACACTGAAGACATCACACACGGGCTGCAGGTCTGAACCGCGGGACCAAGTGAGTCCTTT